GGGGGGGACTAGTAAAAGCGTTATACAAATACAGGCCATTTACCATTTATGTCTTATTAAAATATTTATTTGTAAACACCTTTTATTTTAAACATAACCCATTGATGCCCTGATTTAAATAGTTTTTTTTTCATCCTGATTCAATTTTGGTCTCAATTGAGTACATGCTCTATTTTCTGTCTTTGTCCCTTTCAGCATGTATGTTTTTCATTTACTCTGGTTTTGTATAGCTTTCCATTTTCAGCATTTGTCTAAATGCACAGGCTGAAATAAGTCCCAGATTAAACCGCCACATACTCATTCTGTTTTTTCTGCCTCTTTTTCCCTCCTGAAGCAATTCCCCAAGGACAGCATTAATAGGGAAACTGTGGAGCTCCTGCAGCCTTATTTCGAAATGCCTGACTACAACATCGAAACAGCCAAGAGGGTGTGTGGCAATGTAGCTGGCATAGCATCCTGGACCAAAGCCATGGCCTCCTTCTTTTCCATCAACAAGGAGGTCTTGCCCTTGAAGGTAACAAACATTATTGCAGATCTAGTAGAGTGTTTCCTCAGAAAAGCAGAAAGTGAACTGAATAATCTACTATTCCACTGACTACCAATCGGCATCTGTAAGTTAAACTCACCCTTACAAATATGTATTATGAAACACCTCCTAAAATGTGTAACATTAGGGACACACACACACTTTTTGGACTATTCTCCCAATCTGATGAATATGAAATATTTCATTCTGTAGAAAAACCACAAGCCACAAAGGCACAAAAAGAAACATATTTCCATTCCCACACTGCAGCAGCAATAATTTGCTGATGGTAGAAGTTTGAAGTGCAGCAAAATTCAGAAGTATTTATCCACTAATTATAAACATTGGGTGCATCTCAGATGTTTTTAATCCTGTGATACAAGCCTGAAAATGGATTTCCTCAGACTCTTTGTACTCAAAGACTGCTGGGTGAGAGTGAGTGAGAGAGTGCTGGGTGGGGCAAAATCATACTAATCAGTATCTGTGAATTTAGGTTATCCTATAATGTAGGATTTACTGTGTGTGAGAAAATATAAAAATACTTCTTTTAAGATCATGACATCCTCGTTTTATTCAATACAGTGAAACATCTTGTTGATAATCTGGCATGAGCTGAAAATAAAAAGATTACATTTTAGACACTCTTCATGCTTTCTACAACTGAAGGGAAGCGCCTTGTTGTATTACATCCAAGAGACTGATATAATCTATTTTTCCTTATTTATGCAGCAGGCTGCACTATTTATTAGCTTTATGTTAATGGAATCCCTGTGAATTATTCAATTATTAATTATGAATTATTAAATCCACACACCCAGATCTGATATCTGCAGAAAATATGTGCAAAGTCTTGATTATTACTGCACAGCATCACACATCACCAGTTGTGTAAGCTAAAAGCTTACCAGCTGAGCCTTCTCTCACCTCCATGCTTACCTCAGAGATAAAATACAAACATACTAAATCTTTATTTTTGTCATTTTTTTTGTGTGCCATTTTTGACAACTAAATGGATCAGCAAAATCAGCCACTAAAGGCGAAGTAAAATGTTTAACAAAAAGAAAAACGGTTAAGTGTAGTGCATCCATGATTGACCTTTACATCAAACATTTCCTTGATCTGTGGCTGTTTTTGGGGAAAAAGGACTTATGACTTAGTAGAGAGCTAACATTTTCAATGTTAGAACGTTTCTAAAGTGTTAATATTCAGCCTTACCTTATTCAGCAGTTAATTCTTCCAAAACAGGAAATTATTTGGTCAAAAAAATATATAAATATAGAAAATATGTTTAGAGATAATGTAGTCTAAACACGATGGAAAAGTGGATATAAAGATGCCAGACAGTGCCAATGACCGCTTTCTAACCAGAAGCAACTGAACTTTACTTCAACTAATCTCTCTTTTACTTCTCATTTTTTAAAGGGACAAACTTAACTAGTCACCCTCTAAACCGAGTGTCTCTAGTTGGATGAGTGTGCCAAGCTTGGTCAATGGAAGAGATTACAGAATCATGAGAAGCACTACACAGAGTTGCTTGCAGAAGCTTGTTAGCTACAAACAATACAAAACTAGCTAACAAGCAACCTTTAGTTCATGCAATCAGGAAACACAGCATGGCGCGTTGTTCACACCGTCCTGAATAGCAAAGTGGCAGCTCTTTTAAAGCTGCTGCTGTGATTAGTGCTGTATTCCAGTTGAACCGCCGGGGCAACTGTCCAGTCATTCGTGAGAGAACGCAGAGCAGGCCAGGAGGCAGGATGAGAGACAAGTACAGGCACCAATCATTAACAGGGGCTTGCACATGCTAATAAGCATACAAAACAGACAGGGCTAATCACGCCAGATGAGGGAGCGAAGTGACCCATGGCTGTAACCTGTGCTTTCACCAAGACAAAAGGCAAAATTCTTCTGAAGAATCACCCACTCGGTTAACTACAAGTAAATACAAGCTGCTGTGAATGTCTGATGGGTTATAGTTATTTAAAGGCATTTACAGAGTACATTTATGCTTTTGGAAATGTTGCCTGATGATAACATCTGTTGCTGTCACCCTTGTTTGTTCTCATTCAACACCTCTCTCTTTTCTTAACTGCGTTCTATTCTTTTTGCTCTAACCACCAATTTCTTTTTCCTCCTTTCCACTTTGTTTCCCTAATCCCCCTCCAAACACACTCACACACAGCTACATATATACACATCCCTCGGCGCTGTTGTTTTATTTTGACCTTTTGTGGAGCACAGCCTACAAAACAGATTTTCTGGTTTCGAGCCCAGTGGTGTTTTGCCTTTAAGCTGGATACAGAGATACAGTCGAATGGACAGACATGCAGAAAGCTGAGAAGGGATGTTCCCCTCAGATGTCAATTAATATTAAATAGCTATGTTTTTTCCTTATCCCACACCAAGCACACTCTCAAGTTTTCTCCAAAGCTCTTGATCTTCAGTGTTTTCTCTACAACCCTAGCTCTATACACAAACTATCTTTTTGCTTACTTCTGTCATCTTCAGACTCTTTCTTTCAGTGTTTATGTCCATTCTTCTAAAATATCTTACTAACCATTTTCAGACATTTCTGCCTCTATTAGATAGCACACTGGTAATTGACAGGAAAGTGGGGAACGACACACAGCAAGAGGCCATGGGTTAGAGTTGAACCCTGGCTGAACCATTTAACTATTCAATGACTTCTTCTGTGTTTTTCACCTGAAACTTTTAATGTGCAAAAAACAAAGCACACAAACAAACAAACAAACCATCACAGCCCCCCCCCCCCACACACACACACACACACACACTCTTTCATTGTTTTTCTCTGTCTTTTCTAGGCTAACTTGGCCGTGCAGGAGAATCGTCTGACCATAGCTAATGCGGACCTTCAGAAAGCTCAGGCTGAGCTAGACGCCAAGCAGGCAGAGCTTGATGTGGTACAGGGAGAATATGAGAAAGCAATGATGGAGAAACAGGTCAGCAACTTCATCAAAACACAACTGTAATTTAGTTCAGTACACAAAACCTGTGTGTTGCTCCTGATATAGGAATTTAATACATTTATCTTTTATTTGAAAGTGCAACAATTACTATAGGGGATAAACTGTGTTTATTATTTGTTACATGATATTTTTTCCCATGTTCTTCAAGAAAGCAAAATGTTTTTTGAGAATATCAATGTGCCACTGATGTAATAACAATATTATTATAAACTGCAGTATGTACAGTATGACAAATATACCATAAGATCTGTGACAGCCTGGCTAAAAGGAAAAAAGGGACTGAACCTTAGTTACTGAAGTGACTGAGTAACACCAGTTAATCCTCTGTGGAGGTCTGTGAGAGCATCTGGTCTGTGTTTTCCCATGTTCAGTACACTTTGTGACGTGAAATGTAACGTCTTAATGGAACAGCAAGTGAATCAAGACTCCCTGATTAAGAGGCCAGGACGGGAACAGGTTATAATGTCATGATTAAGATGCAGAGACTGTTCATCTTCCAGGGCTAAAAGTGAGACTGAAAGGCTCGTTGCAAAGGCATTTGGTGTTGATGATGGACAGGAGTGGCTCCAAGTGAAGACCAAAGTCTCGATGTAAAACAGAAAGCAAGCTTTATTAGGAATGCAGTCGAAGTCCATAACTAAACAATAAAAGGCAAAAAAACAGAAAAAGAAAAAAAGAACTGGAAACCTCTTTGGATAAAGACTGGGAACACTAGGCTCATGGGAGGGAAACAGACATGCTTAAAAATATCATAGCTCACTCATTAAGATACTGATGATCTAAACAGAATCTGATGGACTGTAATCAAGTGTTTAATTCAATTATGTTTAAAAGGCAAGTTAGATTTGCAGCATAAATTACCATGGTGATATAACTCGGTAAGAAGTAAACCACCTTCATAATACAAAAAACTCAGGTTTAGCCCTGAAAGTACCAGGATAAGATGAAATTCTGCTTCATAGCACAGGTCACATGCCGTTTTCAATATTTCCCCTTTATAAAGTGGTAAAATATATTTTTAAAAAATGAGTCCTGGAAAGCAAAAGAAGACAGATAAAGTGAAGATAACATTAACAACAATAGCTTGGGGCAATACAAGCTTCCCAGGACGTGTTAATCTGCCTGCATCTGTGTGCTTTGTTTGTAATCACAGATTTAACACCCAGCATTTTCTTTATTTTGCCCAAGTCACTGTGTTCCTGACACATCACACAACTTCTTCTCTCCTGTGACCTGTTGAAACAGCACCACCTCTCCTTTATAGTCCTCTTGATTTACAGAAGAATCCCTCGGTTTTTCTCTCCTGCTTAACAAAGCACACACTTCAGCAGTGTGGAAGGGCACTGTGTCCCTCTCTGTCAAGCAAAAAAACCTAAAGTGTGGCTTGCGCATGCAGTGAGGGGCAGTTCGCTGGTGAGCAGCTGAGGGAAGAGGTAGAGGCAAATATTCTTAGATTCATGCATACTAAGTTAGATAAAGATGGTGGGTATGTAATTCTGATGAACAGAGATGAGCTTTTAGGGGTTTAATCCAGGAATGTGCAGATGGTGGAATAAGACTTGGATAGAGGCAGACACGCTTGGACAGACACACAAGGCTAAATAGACACATCAACCTACTGACCTGTTTGCGGGCCCCTTTCCCATCAGACGCTGCTGGAGGATGCTGAGCGCTGCAGACACAAGATGCAGACAGCGTCCAGTCTCATCAGCGGTCTCGCTGGCGAGAAGGAGAGATGGACGGAACAGAGCAAAGAGTTTGCTGTCCAAACCAAACGGCTCGTGGGTGGGTTTCACAGCAGGTTTCAAAAACACAGATTTAGCCTCTGCAACATAATAACAATTATCTATCATAATAATATAAAGTTCTTTGTATGATATGGGAAATGTTCTGTGGATGAATAATGTGCAGTAAAGTGAAAAATCTCTGTCTGATGATGCAGTTATACTTGGAGTTATAACCTTAATGTGTCATGTCGTTATTGTATGCTAATGCTTTTAATTTATCAGCGGGATGGTCGTGATGCTACTGTTTGACATGGAATTTCTTGCACTTTTAAAATTACCCCACTAATATTTAGGCATGTTCTCATTTCAGTGCATAGGCAGTGCCACATCTGATTAATATGTAACTGATACACTGATGTGTACTGATAAGTATGTACATGTAACAACGCTTGTTCCTGTTCCAGGTGATGTTCTTCTGGCCACAGCTTTTCTTTCTTACTCAGGACCTTTCAATCAGGAGTTTCGTAACCTTCTGCTGAACGACTGGCAGCGAGAGCTGAAGCAACGTTACATCCCGTTTGGTAACAACCTCAATCTGACTGAACTGCTCATTGATGCGCCCACAGTTAGTGAATGGAACCTTCAGGTCAGTCAGTCAGTCAGTTTTTACACATTAATGCCACATGTAATGTAGCACAGCATTATATACCAGCTAGCCCAACTTCAGTAACCCTACAAGCATCAGTGCTGTTTAGTTTTCTGTCTTTATTTATGGTGGAAGGATAGCAGAGCTGTATGTTTGAATTTTTTTCAGAAATATCTCAGTCAGAACATGGTATATCATGTTTAGACGGAAACTAGGGAGCTAACTTCCTGCTAACCTAGAACTCTAATCTAACCTATAACTATAATCTTATAAATTCTGTTTTCATGGATGCCTGTATGTTAAACGTAATTGTTACACCTGGTAAATCAGCAACGCTGATCATTTGATTAAATATGAAAGAATTTAGACAGTTAACTCTCTGTGATGTAGCACTGTTTATTCGACTTTGGGACCTGTCCTTAAACTGACGGAGTAGTGGACCCAGATTATTCCACAAGGCTCTTGACTACGGTTGTCATAACGCTCTAACAATCAATCCACCAGCGGTGCAGCTTCGTAGCTACCAAAACATAGTTGTACTAAAACATGTTTTGACAGATTTTTGAGTGCTGTGTACCACATAAAATCGGCACAACCAAAATTCATACATAAGGCTCACTGTCGATTTTTGAGAAAATTAAAGGATTTTATGTGGACCTTAAAATCCTGCGGAAAATAAGGTAACTAGGTTAAGTAAAAATTAACTGATAGCGTCATTATTATTATTGTTGGTTGTAGTAGCAGTAATCGTAGTAGTTAGTAGTTTAAAGAAGTTTTGTGAATATATGGGAATCTAACTAGAATTTCTAACATTTTTGTTAGCTTAAGTTGTTTTAACGTTTGTGTAAATGTTAGTTTATGTTAACAGTCATATTTTTTTTACCCCTCAGCAGTAAAAAGCTGATGAGTTGTTGTTGTCAGTCTGCTGGGTCGCCAACCGGGTGGTGTGGACGCCCAGTTTGTAAATCAGATAACTTGAAAACCAGACAATTTAGGATTTTTAAACTGATACCATAGGTGCTACTAAAAGGCTGATGGGTAGCACTGGTAGCTGCTAATATCTTTTATTTATCTTTCAAACGAGGATCCCAGGAAACATTGATTGCTGGACCATTTATCATTGGTGGAGATACTGTTAAGCATCAAGATTGACCCTCACCATTTATTCATGTTGTGTCTTACAGGGTTTGCCAAATGATGACCTGTCCATTCACAACGGCATTATTGTAACCAAAGCTGCCCGCTTCCCCCTCCTTATTGACCCACAGACACAGGGAAAAATCTGGATCAAGAACAAAGAAGCCAAGAATGAGCTACAGGTTTGCAAAACGATCTTCTACAATTTTGTTTCAATGTCTGAAGCATATAAAAGTTAAATGAATGCATCCATTCATCCATCCGTCATGCAGCCTTTTGCATTATACCTCGTCTTCTTCACCAGTCCAAATGTCCTGTGCCCATTTTGACTTTTAGTGACCTCTAATATCAGAATCAGAAACCTAGAGGAAATTGTCTGTTCACAGTTCCAAGTAAGAACAGTTACTACCAAGTTAAAGTACCAATTAAATAATACTAATTTAAAAATAGAACAAAACAGCTCTAATAAACGAAAATAGCTCCAATTATAAATATCCCAATATATTAGACAACACTGAATATAGACAAAGCTGAAATTGCAGTGCCCTTATATTCCTGTATAGGATGTGCAGATCATAAGGGTGTGCAACTACTGCAGTGTGTACTGGTGGTTTAGATTCATGAATTTTACAGAGAGAGAGCCACCGGCAGGAATGATTTCCTGTGTCATTCAGTGGTGCATTTGGGTAATCTCAGTCTCTCACTGAACGTGCTCCTGTGACGGGGTGGGAGGTATTGTCCAGCATTGTCCTTATCTTGGAAAACATCCTTCTCTCTGACACCACGTTTAGAGAGTGCAGCTCCATCCTCACAATGTTACTGGCCTTGTGGATCGTCATTGCTTGTTAGTAACTGTGGTCCTAAATTCATTTCTGCCCTTGGTCCTTCCTGCTGTCCAGTATACAGAGCACAATGTCAAAAAACCCCACAAAAAGATACCACCAATTCTGCAGACATAATAAGCTAAGCAAAAGTCGCTGACCCTGTTAGGGGCAATCTCTAAGCCGAGTGAATGCATTCTGCAATCCCATTATGAGCATCCTGGAGACACATTTCCTCCAGCGGTAGGTTTCAACCCTTTCTTCAGGTCACATCATTAGAAAAAGTTTATTTCTAAAAATGGCTCACTTGAAAAGCAATTCTTTGTTAGCTTCAATAGTCAGAATCCGCACATAGAGGCTGACCTTTGTAGCTTTGAAGGAAAAGTGAGGAAACCACACATGTGTCTCCTACTCCTGTTGGAGACAAATATTATTGCTGCTGAGGTCACATAGGAAGGTTATTGTATTGTACAGTAAAATCAATATTATTGTCTGTTTTGTAAAATCTTCTCACATTTAGCCCATTTATTTCATATCCTCAGGACAAAATCAGGCTCTGTGGTGGTGGTCATCCAAACTGCACATTGAAATCAGACAATTACCATTTAAAAATGTGTTTTCTTGTCTGATCTCAGATCACCTCACTGAATCACAAGTACTTCAAGAACCACCTAGAGGACAGTTTGTCTCTTGGTCGACCCCTTTTGATTGAGGATGTGGGGGAGGAGTTGGACCCTGCGCTTGACAACATACTTGAGAAAAACTTCATCAAAACTGGCTCCACTTACAAGGTAACAACACAGAACGAAATAACCCTACTTAGATCAATGTGTTAGATTTTACTTTTAGTTAGAAGGGTATGAAATGGGCAGGCATGTTCAAAGACTAGTGGTCAGTATGATGGGACTTTGCCAGCTTCTCCTTGGCACGCCAGCTGTCACACCTGGACTGATAGGGCTTGATAAGCTCAGACAGAGAAAAACAAGCTCTCTCGCTGACACTGCACAGGTAGTGTCGGCTGGAAGAGAGTTTTAAGTATGAGTATCATTGGCAGCCAGACCACATTTCCTAGATCATATTAATTATTTTGAGACAGATTAAAATGTACTTGGTAAGTCTGGGAAAATGGTTTACACTGTGCAGTGTACACTGTACTATTTCCTCCTTTATTTTGATGGTTTTTATAGAAGGTCGGCATCATTAGATCTTGTCAAAAAGGCACAGTTGGTTCACTTGACTCTGCTTTGGGTATTCAGACAGTTTTGAAAGCTACATTAACAAAAAATACAATAAAATTTTAAGACATACTCAGGGAAGCAAACATTCAATATGTCACCACTTAGAACAAGGGCAAGTGTCGATACTTTAACAGACTTCTGTTGCATAATGAAACTTCCTTTTCTTTTTTATTGCCATCATTTTTGTTGATGCCAAACAAGTTAAATTCATCACATAAATTAAACTCAATCAGTTGTTAAAGTGACACCAAATTAAATACAGTACACAAAGCGCATTCGGTATCCTGTATTAGCTCACATTCTAATGCAAAGGAGTTCAGGCTGTGGAGCATTGAGCCAGTGCAGATGGGATGTGTGGGTTGATTTGAGTGAATATTATTTTTTGGGGGGCGAAATAAACAAACGGAGCTACCTGATGCTGTTGCGTGAGTTGTGGGTGTTTGGGGGCATGTTAGTAAAAAACAAAAATAAAAAAATCAAATGATTTTACAGGATGAAGGCTGAAATTGCAGCAGAGGTTTTCAATTTTGCAGAGTGCTTCCTGTTCCTGAGATGTGAAATGCACCGATTTCGACTCTATTGCAGCTTCAGTTTTATGTAATGTTGAAGATAATTTTAGTTGGGAAAATTGCAGATCACAGTTTGAGTGGTTTTGGTTTCATTAGCCTAAATGACGACCCCAAATTAAACTTTGGAAGTAGACTCTGGGTACAACAGGACATTCATATGTTTTTAATGGAAAAAATGGTTTGCACTTTTGGAGAAAAAAAAACATTTATATTGTGCGCAAATGTCTTTTCTGTGTTGCTAATAAAGATTTGAACAATTCCAATTTCCTGAAAACACAAATGAGAACACTCTAAATTAATTCTGCACTTTTGGATGCTAAAAATATTAACTTTTAGCATCCAAATACACCCAAATACACCCAGATTAATGTCCAATGGAAATCTCCAACCAGTAATTCCAACTCTGAGCTCTTTATTATGTTATTTGTAAGAGTTAATATTCTAAACAATAACACACATACACCCTCTTGCAGGTGAAGCTTGGTGACAAAGAAGTGGATGTGATGAAGGGCTTCAGGTTGTATATGACCACCAAGCTGCCTAACCCGGCTTACACTCCTGAAATAAGTGCTCGCACCTCCATCATTGACTTCACTGTCACCATGAGAGGACTGGAGGACCAGCTGCTGGGCAGAGTCATCCTCACTGAAAAACAGGTATACAAATACTCAAAATGGTAGCCACTAAAGCCAAACGATACATAATTAAGGAACATATTTAAATTAGGTTAGCATAATGTACTATTAGACTGTACCCCTGCATTAATACTGCTTATGTGCATCCTTGCAGAACCTGAAATAAATCTTGAACAACATTTAAATGCAGACTCTCTACATCTTTCCCAATCTCATTTTCTCTCTTTAGCAGGAGTTGTACTGTGACATTAGAACGCCATTTGAATACAAACAATTGCAATCGCCCTGCTTTGGTCAAACACAGTGTGAGTGGGGAATAAAAGTAACCCAGAAATAGTGCTCACGTGTATCAGTACCAAGCATACGCACAAAGACACAGACAAGTGACGTCAGTCTCACTGGGGAATAGATTAGTGAATTATAAATGCACCAAATGCAGGACTCATTGATTGTCACTCTGAAAAGGCTGGTCCTGTTACAGAAAAGCAATTTTCCCTCTGCTGATAGCTGGTCATGAAATGAAAGATTTATTCCAGATGGGAAGAGGCTTGTTACTGTATCTGTGTACTAAATTTGGATTTAATCAAATAAGAGCTAAAACTACTACCTCAGCTGTAAGCCCTGCCTCTTGTCTTTGCAGTTTGTGCAGTTCTCACAAACCCAACATCACTGTTGAATCGTTTCTTTTTACTTTCAGTCACACTTCAATTCTACACACAGCTTTCAGCTCCACTATGACTTACATCTGTCTTTGTAAGCTATTGAAATCATTCATATGCAGTAATAGAAAGGGTATGAATACTAATTCTGTCCTCTCAGTCCTCCTTTTCATAAATATGTGTGTATTCATATTATACATATATTATATTATATTATATTATATTATATTATATTATATTATATGTAAAGAGCATTTATCATCGATAAAAACCTGCTGTGATAGTGTCCAACAAAGCAGTTCTTAGGAAAATATGCTTGTAATCTACAATCAAAATAGCAATATCATTGATTTAAAACACACCTGCCACTTAGAAGTGGTAACTGGTGAGTGTTTTTTTTTATTTTTTATTTTTATACCCGCTTAAAGGCAGTCAGTTTAATGTGATGTGGATAGTCGGCCTACTTATGAGCCACCATTAAATTTGACTTGGATAACAAGACAAATCTTGTTTTAGTTTAATCTCTCGCACTCGCGGAACAAAATATCAAATTATTGTCTCGCATACTCTAAAAGGGATTTAACATGCTGGTCAAATTTATGCTCCCAGCAAGCAAGACTGTGGTGTAAATTTTGATAAGACCTGCTTTCCCCAGTGCAGAAATAACACTTTTGGACACTTAGAAGAGGTAAGCTGGAGTCATTTGCTGGGGCTTACTTAGGACTACGGAGAAAAGGGCGACAACATAGCTTTACAGGTCTTATCATCACCTTGAGGCTATCTCTCCTCTAGGGGCGTTTTTATTCTTCACATGGATTCTGCTCATCTATTCATTTAGATAAGGTATTTATTAATTTTTTTTTGCCAATATCTCAGCTTCTTGACATTCACGCGGCTGCAGATATTAGTAAGAATAATATAGACAGCTACCAGAGGCCACCATGATAGCCAGGCACCAGAGAAGAGTCTAAAGCCACAGACAGAATCAACTCATCAGAGCAATGCCGAATCAAAGACCTTTGATTTTAATGACAGGCTTTCTCTAGCACCATCCTGCAGCTATATCTGCTCATGTGGTTGTGTTTTCTTTGCTTTTATGACACCAGGAATTGGAGAAGGAGAGGACAGACCTCTTGGAAGATGTGACATCTAACAAGAGAAAGATGAAGGAACTAGAAGACAGTCTCCTCTACCGACTGACGAGCACACAGGCAAGAAACTGCAATGTGTCAGAAATTTTCTTTTTAGAAATGGTTAACTACATTGTCACCAGTGAGAAAATGTTTTATTCATTTGCATGGGTGAGGTTGGGGCCAAGTTTTGTGCATTCTCATTTTTTAATTACAACTGGAAATAGTTTGCAGCCTTCTTTTTCTTTTTCTCTTTTGCTTTATAAGAGATAAATTATGAAAAATAATCATTTTTTAAAAAAAAAATTGTATGTGTGTTTTTTAGGGTTCCTTGGTTGATGATGAGAGTCTGATCCTTGTCCTTAGCAACACGAAGTGTACGGCCGAAGAAGTCACTCAGAAGTTACAGATTGCCGCAGAGACTGAGATCCAGATCAACGCAGCCAGAGAGGAGTACCGGCCAGGTAAGTGAAAATGATTTAAAAACAAAGTTCCCTCTTTTTTTGTGTGTTTTTCTAAGTAAGCCTTCAGTTACACAAATGTTCTGCTTTTAATTCAGATGAAGCAGTGACAATGAGCCCTTGAGCTTTATACTCACACAAAATGTGAGACATATTGGTTTAAATTTAAAAAATACAGGCTACAGTTAACAGAACATTCTTTCAAAAACCTGTTTAAAAATGTCCTCATGAACAATATTGCCTGTTTTGTTGGAGTTTATGCTTTTGTGTTTCCCTGTGTGATTCCAGTGGCCACCAGGGGCAGCATCCTGTACTTCCTGATTACAGAGATGAGTATGGTGAATGTCATGTATCAGACGTCTCTTAGACAGTTCCTGGGACTTTTTGACCTTTCTCTGGCCAGGTGAGGATACGCTGACATTTACCATTTCCTGCTTCCTTTAATGAATTGGTTTGCCCATAGTCATTTGTTGTGTGTTTATATGTATATTGGAAAGTCTTTGCAAACTTCAAATCAAGGAACTATTGTGCATTTATACCACCATACCTTTCTAATGTAAAAACCTGCAAGTTATTACTTCATGAAGTTGTGCAATCATTACTAGTAGTTTATATTTGATTTTAGAGAAGTTCTCACTCTTACTACTGGCAACTATAATTTTATGTCATAGCAACAGAATCTTCAAGTTGCTATGTTATTTAGAAGACCTGTTTATTTCCCTGAAAAGGTCTTCTAAAAGCCCTATCACAAGTAAACGGATCGCCAACATCATAGAGTTCATGACCTTTGAAGTTTATAAGTACGCAGCACGGGGCCTGTATGAGGACCACAAGTTTCTTTTCACTTTGCTGATGACCCTGAAGATAGACATGCAGAGCAACAAGGTCAAACACGAGGAGTTCCTCACACTCATCAAAGGTAAGAGGCAGATACAAACACTGAAGGTTTTGTTTGTACGGGTAAATTGTTGTTTCTGTGAGCACATACAACCATGGGTTAGTTTGAATATTTGGAACGTTTCAGTGGGATCATAACTCATGTTGATTACTGGCATTTAGATGTGCATAAGTATTCTTTATTTATTAGGTATTTAACTGCATATTACAAATATAAAGAATATTCGTTACATGAAATAACATCAAACAGTGCAACAATATTTCTATGAGCTACTAAAATATGTCAAATGAAATCTATTCAGTAACGCAGGAAAACAAATAAAAGATAAAAATGCAAAGACCCAAAATTGTGAGTTTCAACACATCTGCTCTGAGCTATGAAAAAACATGGCTTGTATTGACAAAGATTCTTAGTACTAAGAATTTAACAACATGCCACCGTTGCAACAAGTCAGTTTGGGAAATTTCTTCACTCCTAGATATTCCACCATCAGCTAAACTACAAAGTGTTAGACCATGTAAAGTTACAGGGCGGGATCACTGAGTACTGAGACACATAGTCCATGAAGGCTGCCAGTGCTGTGGTGACTCACAAATTGTCCAGAACCAAAGAGTCCCAAACTTCCTCTGGCATTAACATCAGCACAAAAGTGTGCACCGGGAGCTTCATAAAATGGGTTTGGTTGAGCGGCTCCTGTAGTTAAAGTGTTTGTGAGCCAATGCGGCCACGTGCCTTGTGGCTGGGGGCGGCCTGCCTGGGTTCGGGTGCCCTGTCAGTCTCTCCCTCCGCTTTCCTGTTGTTTTTTCACTGTATCTGTCAATAAAGCTAACCCCCCGCCACCCAAAAAAAACAGAGATTACATAAAAACTGTAAAAATGATGCGCACGTCGATTGTGTGCAACTACATGTGTTATCAGTGTGCTGTGGCAACTTGACGTCTGTGGAGAAACTGAGATTTTTGGAAACAGTGATGCAGGTTAATTGCTAATTCTGTAAGGCACTATGTGTGCTTCTCTGATTTAGATGGGTGATTCTACAACTAACGAATAGATCATTTAGCTAACAACACTCTACTTCCCGTTTGATCGATCACATGGTTGTAAACATGATTATGATATTTCTTACGGCTTGTTAGAATGAACAGACAGATTTTCTGAAACATATTCATCTGGACAAAAACTGTTTTTCCCTACTTCTTCTTAATATTTATTTTAAAACACCATTTCGAAATAAAAATGAAAATACAAGGGTTTCTGTAAAGCTATCATTCACATCAAAACAACCTGAAGGTTTGTTAAAATTGCCATCTGTTTCTGCTGTTTGCTATTCTTTTCTTTAACCATATGTATTGTTTATTTCAAGGAGTAGACTTATTTTAAACCTCATGACAGAAACGATGCACAATTTGAACATATTGACACTGTAGCAGTTCACTGAATATGATATGGAGTGCTCCTCACTGTGGGGATAAAACCCGGCAATGGCAACTGGCAGAACCAGAACAGCCACAGTCTGGTGCATGCACGCAGCTTCACCATCTGTCAGCTCCGGCCTGATAAACAACAAATTACAATTCTGATGACTTTTTCTGTGTTTTTGAAGATTGGGTTTACATGTTTACATTTGTTATGTATTTTGGGAGTTTAAAATTGAATTTTTTACATTGGATCCTCCAGTTTATACTTGCAGGTGTCTATATCTGTAATTGTTCATGTTCATATTATTCAGGAGGTGCATCCTTGGATCTGAAGGCTTGCCCCCAGAAAGCAGCTAAATGGATCCTTGACATGACCTGGCTAAATCTTGTAGAGCTCAGCAAACTTTGGCAGTTCGCTGATATACTGGATCAGGTACAACATACACTTGATCAATTTAGACATGCCTTGACAGCTGTATGATAGTGTCCTTTAGCCTACAGAAAATCTACCCACTTGGACTTTTATCTTTTAAGTCTTCAGATAGCAGTTCTAATCTATCACATACACACCTGGACACTCACACATACACAGCAGTTGTCTCAAGGTGCTTATTAAATACTTTTCACAGCTCTTCTTTGCTCTAGTAAGCATGTCAATATCAGTCTCATCATGGCTCACTTCATTTCCCTCTTGTACATAGACACACACTCATCATGATGGACTGTCACTCACACTTAAATACACACACCCTTGTGGATGAATGACAGCACTGTGGTCCCCATGGAGTCAAAACTCAGTGCTCTGTGAAATGAGCTTAGTTGGAGAAACTTCCAGTCAAATACTTTTGGCTGAGCATGTGCGCATACACAAACTGTGTGTGTGTGTGTGTGTGTGTGTGTGTACTTGTTTGAATATCTTTGTGAGGACAGTCACTTGTGTGTCCTCATGAATTTGAAAGCATTTTTGAGGCTCAGTATGTGGTTTTAGAGTTACAATTAGGTTAGTTAGGTTAGATTTAGAGTTAAGCTTTCATTTCTGATGGTTAGAGTTAGGGAAAGCATTATGTCAATTCAATGTCCATACTAAAATGTGAAAGTCGTGTTTGTGTGTGTGTGTGTGTGTGTGTGCACTTGGAAATAGACATTTGTTTTTTTTAAGCATGAATCACAGGGATAGTTGGATTAGCATTTCAGATGCAGGACTTAAAATTGTAACACACTCTGTTTTATCAGTAATTACTGTTAATTACTCTTCAGCAAAGCACTAAACCCCTAAAATACTTTAATGCTTTCAGGGCTAATAGACAAACATAAGCAACTCTCAGTTTAATGTTAAGTAGCAGCAGGTAGCTTTTTGACTGCAGTAAGTAGTCATTAAAGGGCATACTCTTTTTCAAGATTACACACATGCCTAAATATGAGCAATATTTTAAAGGTACATTTTTATTGAGATTTAGAAGCAGGGCTTGCTTTATCCCTTTGAAGTGACTTGATTTCTTAAAGAAACTAGTTGTTAAGATGTTGTTAATACAGCTTTGTTAGGAAACCTGCCTAATTTTTTCTAATTTTGTTCAATTACACACAGTTATCCATGGCAATGCTGTTGTTACTAAAGATAAAAACATGCATGTTTAAGGTGATTTATGATTCTGACTTGACCACCATATGTGTCGGTACCTGATGTTTTTGCAATGGTGATAGTTTATAATTTGGGCCTAAATAAGCAGTTTTCCAAGAACAACATCCACCCACAGGTTGGGAACGTTTTTGCTAGATGTTATTGGAGTAGCCCTGGACTGAAGCTGGACTGGTTGAGGTTCCCCTGGATGTTGGGGCTGTGTAGCAAATTAAAGTGAAACGCTCTGGATTAGAGAGGTGGTGAAAAAAAAGTCAAGGAGGAGGTGGTGGACTTTACGTCTGCTGATCTGACCATTCAGGTGTTCAGGTTAAAATTATATTTCTAACTGTTCTGCTTTTAGCAAAGTAACACTGAAGTTGGCATTGTGTATTTCTTCATAAGATACACACCAATGGTATAAGTGAATGGGGTAGTTTTCTTGCAGTATTATTGTGAGGACAGGTCTGACTTTCGATGTTATTCAGACAGAAGTTTTGAGGTTTAGTCAAGCATTTAGTGATGATGTTTGAAAATGTTCAGTTTTCTTCTTCTTCGTCTTCACTTTGTACACACTTTCTTTTCATCGCTGTAGCCAGGGTGATACTACAATTTTAATTATAATTTATTTGTCACTATTAACAGGATACATAACACAGGCTTTTAAGGTTTCTGTCATTAAACTACTTCTTAAATTCCTTGCTTGATCTAAGTGTCTTATCTAACCATATTGCAACCATCTTATTTCAAAAAATTATCCTGTACAACAAGCTCCTAATTTTAATTCAGAGACACTTCCTCTGTTTTAAGATAAATAAAATGTTCCTTTTTTATAAAGCCTATAGTTAGCAATAAAAATAAACCTCAATTAAAATCAAATTGAATTGGATTAAACTGAATTTTTGCTTCCTTTATGTTTTTGTTCCAAGAAAAAAAATGGAAAACTGCCTATTTCACCTGTTATGTAAAAATGAGCCTTTAGAAGAGTAACTCTTGCTCTCAGTCTCAAATTATCGAATCTCCGATAAATTTGGAGTAAAAACAGTCTTTACTTGTTAATGTGTTAAGTGAATTTCAGTCTGGCATCTGAACGGGGCACAGTACAATTACTGCTGCTTCTGAAATGACCTTGTGGATTGAACTGTAGAAAGTAATTTGGGCTGCCAAAAAGGGGATCTAAGAACTAAGTCATGTTTTGCTTGGGGATCAAATACTTATTTCTCACAATGATAGGTGAATCAATTTGTAACCTTTATGTAATGTGTTTCTTCTGGATTTTTGGTTGATATTCTGTCTTTCTAAATTGAAATGAAACAAATTGGCAACTTACAAATTCAGCAGGGGATCAAATAATTGGTCCCTCCACTATGTATGTGTTATCTTATGACTGACTGCTAAACTGTCTTGGGTATATCCTCAATTTTGCTCATTTTTTTTTTTTTTATTTGATCCTAAAGTATGTGAGAGTTTAAAGCTATATTGATGAGCTGTATCCACTGTTATACAGTTAAAAGGTTATTGCCATGCCACTTCTGCTAGTCTAGTTTCCTTTGTGCTTCGTTGTGATAAGCATAACAATATTAGCACAATCTGTTGGCATATTTTGTGCTATCACACATGCAGATCACATCTTGGAAGCACATGGTGTTTACAGCAGTGTCAATTCATGGCCTCCTGTTATTGCATAATCATCTGAGTTAGGTCACGCGTTACATGTTGTGTCCGTCTGTGCTCGTTATAAAATGAAGTGCCATAAATAAGACTTCTTCCACGCATGAGACCTCAGCTATATTGTCATGAATTGCTGTGTGAAGCAGGCAGGATAGGACAGAAATGCAGACTCACACTCAGAACAGCTTTATTGCTGGACGCCAGGAATACAAAACTTAGTAAACTGGGAATACACATGAACGACACAGGCAGGCTGAACACACAGCGGGGAAATGAGGGAGATCGCGACGCAGGACAGAGGGAGACGCAGACATAAATACACACCAGGGCAAACGAGGCAACAAACTACTGGAGGGAACACAGCTGAACGTGATCTAACTAACGAGACATGGGGACACAAAACTGAACATGATGCACACCAGACAGAAGACTATCCAAGTAAAACAGGAATCACTAAGACAGAGACCAAGTCACACAACTTGACACGGGAGCTGGGAGGAAAGAAAATTCAGGGAGATGAGACGGACCAGGGAGATAACGGGAGGAGACAACGAGGGGGACACGGAAGCAGTTAAGGGAGATGAGACACAGAGGGAGTGCGAGGGAGTGCACATAGTCAAACAGAGAGGGACACAGTGGGCAGAGACACGAGGGGAACCTAATGGACAAGGAACCAACCAAGGAATATAAGTAACTCAAAACAGACTAAACTTAAGACTGTTAATGAACCTAAAACAAACCATGATACAAAATGACACCAAAACACAAGAAACTCCAAATGTTAGGTCAACATGACCCAGAGCCATGACATATATTTCATTGCATTAACAAAGTGGATATTATTTATATAATGTATTGATTTAAATGTAATGCTCTAGCCTCTTACCTATATTTTACAACAGGAGTTAGACAAGACTGCACAAAAATGATAATAATTGGCACAGACCTGTTGAGCAGGTGCAGAAAGACACACGGTCATCATTGTCCTTAAGCAGATTAGTACCGTTTGGACAATTTGTGGCGTGCATAATGAATACATCATGATATTTAACACACATATAGGCTACATTTCATTCTTTTTTTGTTGTTACTTATTAGCTTTCTTTTGTTGGCCACTTTGAAGATCACTTTGTGTCTAAATATGTTTGAAGTATTCAGTATTCTTTTATCTTTTCTGCAGATTTTGATGTGCTGTAATGCAGTTAAAGTTTTGCCCCGTTTTATATTTGTTTCCCACGTCAGAGCTTTTTGTCACAGATAAGTCTTCTTACAGATAAGTCGTAACGAGAAACAGTGGAAGGCTTGGTTTGACAAGGAGGCCCCAGAGGAGGAAGTAGTCCCAAACTCCTATGACCAGTCTCTTGACTGTTTTAGACGGCTGCTCCTCATACGCTGCTGGTGTCCTGACAGGACCATCGCACAGGTAAGGAGAGACATGTTTATGCATGGCTATAGAGGACAGATACAATGATTAAATTCAGTTTTCTTTAAATAATGCCAATTCAAAACAACAAGTTCCTTGGAACATTAATATTGTAATAACTATTATAAGTTCCCCTGTGAACAAGCCATGGGTGACGGTGCTCCAGAATTAATGATTGGGTCCTTGGCAGAAACTGGTTTAGGTTCAGAAAGGGAGGCCATCTACTGCGACTGGTGAGGAGAGGTGAGGGGTAAAGAGGAGAGAGAAAAGGAGAACATAGAGAGACCAAGGGAAATATTAACAGCATGAATATCGCAGTGTAAATTTTAAAAGCATCAGAAGAGTCTAACCAGCCTATAGCAGCATAGGATGGCTAAGGGTCACCCAATCCATTTTCTTTAATTAGAAAGCCAAACATTGGTTGTCTGTTCTGTTTTTTGGTCATGCTTTTGCCTCCTTTATAATATACAACACAACAAGTAGAACAGGCAATGTAAATCTACTTTTTTCATTTCTATCATAGTGCATTTTCAATAGTATAGACTGCAATTAAAATGAATAATTACCACTAAAGAAAGAGAAAAGGCTTAAAGTTGCTAATCTGAGAGTTAATGGCTTAAAGCTTGGGAAGAGATACCTCCTGACTTGAAAATACAGCTACATAAATGAGACACAAAACAAGAATGTATAATCTCTTAATCTTCACTGAAAGCTGCTTGGTCAAAGCTCTTCTTGAGATAAGAAGCAGCTTGTATAACTTGTTGTTATACAGCTTTCACCCTCCAGCCTGCTGTGCCTGAATATTTACAGTGGCTAAAAGATATTCAGTTTTACTGATGGATAGCTTTCTGGCCCACTGAAGACAATCCTGGAGTTCAATTAATTTTGTTAAACTCAGAGTCCAGTCCACAGTTACCCTAGCCTTAAGGGTAAAAAGAGTTAGCCAGAAAAGAAAATGCTTTGAAGAATTATCTCAGTTCTCAGCTTTCTAGAAAGTAAATTTATTCCAATATATACTATTGGACTACTTTGCTCAACTCTTTGCATTACAAACCATTTAGAAAATTACATCTGCTTTGCGTCATTTTCTTTCCTTTAGGCCCGTAAATACATAATGGATGCAGTAGGGGAGAAATACACTGAAGGGGTGATTCTTGATTTAGAGAAGATGTGGGAGGAGTCGGACCCACGAACACCTCTGATCTGCTTCCTTTCAATGGGCTCAGATCCAACTGACTCCATTATAGCACTCGGGAAGAAGCTGAAAATCGAGACCCGTTATGTATCCATGGGTCAAGGACAAGAGGTCCACGCACGCAAGCTTCTGCAGCAAACTATGGCTAATGTGAGTGGTGGGATATTACTGCTGTTTTAGCAATACAGATGTTCTGTCTCTAAAAATGTGGTTTGGAATTTATAGAAATTATTTAGGGTTTTCTTGAACTCATCATTTATAGTCTTCGTCATGGATGATAGGCATACTACTGTGTTTGTCCCCAGGGTGGCTGGGCCTTACTCCAGAATTGCCACCTGGGTTTGGACTTCATGGATGAGCTCATGGACACTGTGACAGAGACAGACTTTGTCAACGACAGCTTCCGCCTTTGGATGACCACTGAGGTCCACAGACACTTTCCCATCACACTTCTCCAGATGTCCATCAAGTTCACCAATGAACCACCACAGGGCCTCAAGGCAGGGCTTAAGAGGACATATGGCGGTAGGTTTGGCTCACTTAAGCTCACATTAAAGAAGTCCAGGAATACTAACCAGTTTAATAGATCCAATTTATCTATGTGATAAAGAAAGAGGACCAAAGAGAATGAAAAATATTCCAATATTGATGTGTACATTTGGAGATGCAGATATACAATAGACCTCTACTCCGTGATATCCATGACAGGAATAAGTAAGTGAATAAAAAGATGGAAATGTGGGAGAAACACCTGTTTCATGCTATATTTATTGTATTCCGGATTTTGTTTTTTTTTTTAACCCATGTTACCCAAGGTTGGTAAAATTTTAAACAAGTCTGAGTTATCTAGTCTGTGTTTTGGTCCAAAACACAAGGGTGAAGAAAGAAAAGAATCTTTAAAATGTAGGAACCAGCTGTCTTTTCCTGGCTCAGATGACATGGTTCCTGGAGGGGAATTGAGAGCGTATCTACAGCTTGAATTCTGATTTTGATTAGTAATTGCAGTTTGGTATTATATCAGGAAGAAGGTATTATTTTGACTGACATATTCAGTTCATTATCTTTTCTCCCACATTTACGCAACAAATCTTAAATGTTCACTAAAAAGGAAATCTGTGTGTGCATGTTTGTGCAATGCTTGGTTTTAGAAGTAACTAACTTTATTCAGTTATGGATTATTGCTTTGAATGCTGACATTTAAAGCTCATACATTTCTGTAGATGTTCCACTTAGCCTACTTTTGGGCATGCAGTACATCTTTTTGACCTGCATGTCCCTGACCAGGTATAAACCAGGACCTTTTGGATGTCAGTAACATGGCGCAGTGGAGGCCGATGCTGTATGCAGTAGCCTTTCTTCACAGCACAGTTCAGGAGAGAAGGAAATATGGCCCCCTGGGATGGAATATTCCCTATGAGTTCAACCAGGCTGATTTTAATGCCACTGTCCAGTTTGTTCAAAACCATCTTGATGACATGGATATTAAGAAGGTAGGTAGAGTAACGCTTATTATATTCTGTGTGATTAGGACTCTTGACCACAAAAAAAATGTTAAAAGGGTTGAGATTTAAAGAAAGGATATTGTAAATACTTATCAACAACAACCATCTGCTCGGAGTTTTAGAGCTTTCTGACTGTGTATGTATTCAGTCTGTTTACAAATTATATTGCACATTCATGAACAATTTTTTTTTGTCATCCTTTATCACTGTTTTATCATCTCCTTAGGGTGTGTCCTGGAACACAGTTCGATACATGATTGGAGAGATTCAATACGGTGGTCGTGTGACCGACGACTATGACAAGCGCCTCCTCAACACCTTTGCCAAGGTGTGGTTCAGTGAGGAAATGTTTGGACCTGCATTTAGCTTCTACAAGGGCTACAGCATCCCAAAGTGCTCCAGTGTTGACCAGTATCTAACATACATTCAGGTCAGTCTCTAAAAATAACAGACATTTGTTAGTGCAACGTGTCTGCAAAAACTGCCACTGTGCCAGTGACTGTTGCTTCTGTCTTGTGAAAATTCATCTGTTTCCAGACTATTTCTCTTTTTTTCTCACTCAAAGTTAAGTTCTGTGATATATTTATTGTTTAGTGGGGTGTCATTTATTTATTTATTTATTTGTTGTTGCTTTCTTGTGGTGTGCTCTTGTTACATCCAAAATGCACTCTATGTGAGATTTTACAGATTATATATATGAGTTATTAGTGTGCTTAACTTGTAGGTGTGTGTGCGTCCAGGGGCAGTTCCTGAGCTTGTTTCATTAAAGGTAGTTTCATTATGATGGATGCTTATGGCTGTCAGGCTCAACAGGCCCATTCTATTTGTGCTGCTTCTTAAACTGAGAATGACAACACAGCCTTAGAAAACTCATGCACAAACCTATACATATGCATTCAATGGCATGCACATATAGCACATTAAATCTGTAAATGTTGGGCAATTTCAATTTTTTTTTACGTATTTTACTTCTGTATGCTGCCGAGACTTGATGTTAAATGAAAGTTTCCACTCGTAGCTTTTATTAAAGATGTTAAACAGAAGTTTTGCATCATCTGTTCATGAATTGAAGCCCTTTTAGTACCCAGTTATGAATTGGACAAAGTTGCATAAGGATTGTTTTTAGTATTTGGATGAAAATTTACATGAAGTCCAGAACCCATAGTCATCATCAAATGCCTTGCTAAAGAATTAAAAGAACACAGCAAGGGATGCAGGCCATTCTGTCTAGTATAAGCTATCTCTGTTTTTCTGTCACCATCCATTTTTCTTTCCGTATTAGCCAGACACCATCCTGATGTTTTACCCTGTCTGAAAACAGAATCCATCACGACTGAAGAAAGTATGATGCATCAATAACCACTTGCTGAAGTTGCTCAACAAGCAAAAAACAAACTTGCAACATTTACATTTATGTTAGACTGCTTTTAAATAACTGCTTTAGCCCACTTAGAATGAAAATTTAAAAAAAAAAATGTTAAAATGTCAAAATAACTTGAACTCCAATTTTGAAAACACAACTTTCTTTCTTTCTTTCTACTGGTACTGTCACACATTTTGAGTTTTTGTTTAGAACATTTAGAACATTTTGTGTTCTAGTTCAGCAGATAAAGGAACTGAGGTGAAGCCTGTGAAATTGAAACATTCTCTGTTTAGCAAGGGGAAATGTATATCTGCTAAATCATGCTGTAAACTGGGTTAAGAACTGTCCCAAATATAAAACAAAGCAAGACAAAACATTTGTCATCAGCTGGTTTTGTTTAACTGATCATATTTAAGTATTATACAGTACTTAAAATCAACACTGTATTTAAAAACAACACAACGCTGTCACGCTGATGGTAAAAACACAGGTCTTTACCACAGTGCCGCTGTGCCACTTTATTTTTTAACAAAACACAAAGCTTTATGTATAAATAACTGCCTATTAACACTTATAGAAAAAAGAATCCACAAAAGTTTTTTTTTTTTTTACTAACTTTTATTTGTTCCAGATAAATTATAAATGATTTTTTAAAAAGTAATGAAATGCATCAGATGTCTCCATGCTTTCTTTTCTGCTGTAATTTTTTTTTTCTTGAACATAAATTGGCCTATTGAAAATAAAATGTAGTAAGAAACACTACATTTTTTCAATAGGCCAATTTATGTTTAAGAAAACCCCAACAATCAAATGATCCCATCTGAGCAAGCACTGGGCGACGGTGGGAAGGAAAAACTCCTTTTTCTTAAAAAGAAGAAACCTTCGACAGAACCAGGCTCAGATGGTGCGGCTTCTGTCAAGACCGGTTGGGGGTGAGATGGTTAAAAAAACTACTCTAAAGGTACAGCGCAACAGCTTTTGATGGAAATGGGTGGAAGGGTGGGTGTTACACCTCGTTTCATTGGAGGTCCTACAGGTGGTCGGGGTGTATATTCAGCTTTTTTACAAATAGGCGGCAGAGGGACAGGACTAGGTCGTGGAATTATAACTGGTTGGGCGGGAATAGGTTGCTTTCCACTTCTGGATACAGGTGGAACACAAATCCTACAAAAAGGTTTGATAGTTTGCTTTTTTGTTGCTGGTGTGACTGGAGGAGCAGGTGTCAACTTTGTGTTTTTCGGTCTAATGGGTGGCAGCCGAGTCCGCTGTAACTGTTGTTCGTCAGATGCATCTTCCCTGCCTACGTAAATGTATTCATGTTCCTCAAAAAGGGCAATGTCTTTTTCAGCTTGACTC